AGCTTCGTCAGGAAGGCCGCCCGCGACACGGAGTTGTAAGCGCTCCGGCCGTCCAGGGAGATGATCGTGGCTCGCGTATCGAGCTCGGAAGCCGTGCGCAACAAGGAAGCCAACGAATCCGTGCCGCCTCTAGCCTGCAGCGCGTACTGAAACGGGCGGGTGGCCTCGTCGAAAAGCGACGCAGACCGTCGCGCCATCACTCGGGAGACAAGACGCCTCAGCACGTCCCCCCGTGGCAATGCCACGGACTCCCCCAGCTGGCTCCTGGAGGGCCGTCAAACGCGCAAGGGCCAGCGCGTCCAACACTTCCGACGGGACAGCCGATACGACGTGTGCGTGAGTAGCTCGAGGCTGGCATCGTCATCGAGCTGCAGGCGGTAATGTTCCGCTGTGGCTCCGCTGAGGCCTGCCGCGGCGCCACGGCGAGTGCTTCTCAAGGCATCCCCATCTTTCGTTGTCAAGCGGATGGGCGCCCTGGGCTGGAACTCCATCGGGCCTGCGCAGCTCAGGCGGCCGGCGCGCAAGGTCCGTCAAGGCCGCGAGCGCAGCGGCATTGCCAGGGGCGAGCTCCGCGGCGATCGCCCCGACGCACCTGCGCGCACCTTCTCCCGTCTGGCTTCCCGGCTTGCCAAGACATCCGTGACGGCCCGGGCTCGGCCCGCCGACCAAGGGAAGCGTGGGCCGCTGCAAGCAACGAGCTCCACCGGCCCGCCAGGAAGTCGGAGACTTTTTGTTGCAAGCTTACCTTTCCCACTGCCCCTGTATCCGCGCAGCGCGCAAACAGCAGGCGGGGCGCTAGCAGGAACAGCTTCCACGCCTGCAAGCGTCTCTGCGCTGTCCGCGGGTCTTTCACAGCCTGCAGAGCATACACCAAGGCGGCGGGATGCTGCGCAAGGTCGGCACCGGCGTTGCAAACTCCTCAGCCAAATTGACGTCGCCCAACCAAATCCAAGAAGATCCGTCGCTCGCCGCCGGCGGCGGCGGAGTCGGAGCACGAGAAGTCACAATGGAGTCGTCGCACTGTGCGCCCTCATCTTGCGCGACCGACGCGCCCGACCCGTGTGGAGCCGCCGCGGCCGTGGGCCAGCGTGGGGGCTCCGTGGGAGGCTCGGCTGCGGGCGAGCCGGCGCGCAAGCCTGGGACCGTCCGCGCTGCACGCGCCGGTGCTCGCACGGTGGCTAGTGGGCGCGGGCTGGAAGGCTACGCCATCCCTGAATCGTCGCGGAAACTGCGGGACAGCCTCTCAGGTGGTGCCCACCGAACACCTGCAGGCAAACTTCCTGCACCAAGGCGTGCAAACAGCCATGTTAAGCCCGAACCGCCAAGGCGAGGTGGACGTGCGCACCAACCGCTTCCCCGGACAGCGCGCGCTGGACCGCGCCGGCATCTTGCGCGGCGTCTCCCGCTGCGTCCCGCGCAGCGCTGACGAGCTGCATGGTTTCGGTCAGCACAACCGGGCTCACGGGCGGCGACGCGTGCGACGGTCTGCCCGCCAGCTGTCAGCGGCCTCGGGGCGCAACAGTCGCGCAGCCTGGTGCAGCAGGGGGACGTAAAGCCACGAGTTGGCAGCTGCAGTTGGTTTGATCCGGCAGCTTGCAAGACTCGGGTCAGGGCCGCACCGGTGGGCCTTCACGGTGCTTGCGGTGGTGTGCGCTCTTGGCGGCGGCTGCCCTAACAGAGGGTGGTTTCGAGGACAGATTTGGCGTGGCAAAAAATAAATTGCCCCAGACAGACAGTTGCTGCGGAAAAAGGCGCGCGGAAAAAAAAAGGACTTATGATAACTATCAAATAATTAGGAAAGCAACCTGAAGCTCATTAATTGGGAGCATTTCATACGGGAATTCCGCGATTTTTTGAGCAACGCTCTGATGGAGTCTGAAGTCGCGTCTCTGGCCATGCCCCTTGTCAGGTTTCTCGTAACAGCGTCTCCTGTCACGTGCGGCGGGAGCCACCGCTGGTGCGCGTGTGGTGGGCTAGCCTCACCGTATTGCACTACAAGCCGAAGGGGGGAACAAGGGGACTTGCTGATGCCCGCTTTGTTTGTACCTCGCCACCCAGCCGGAAAGGGTTCGCTTTGTGTACCACGCAGTAGCCCGATGTTTGTGGGAACACGCTCGCACTTCTTTAAACCTGGCCGCGCCCCAGGGTCTCGCTGCCGGCGTGGACTTTGTCCGGCGATGGTGTTGCTTGCCGCCGCAGCATCCCGGCCTACGCCGCTAGTTTGCTGGTTGCGCCTGCGCCGTCCACTGCCAACGTTGACTCCGCCATGCATCGGCGACATCCTGAGTGCGCACGCTGGGCCTCCGCCGGGTGCCAGCCGGTTCCGGTACGGCCGTGGGAGAAAAAGCTGCTTTTTCAAAAAACAGCTCGCCAAGCTTCCCGTGCCCGGAAGCACCACATAAGCAAAGCGCCCGGAGGCGAACCCCTTCAGCATGCCCCCCCGCACCGACATTTGCTGCGGAAAAAAAACGCAGGAGGAGAAAAAAAAATGAAAACTCGAGATTCATTGTCCCACTGACATGGTCGTACGCCCCACGCCGTCCACGGACAGTATGGTTGCTTTCGGGCACAAGCCTGCGCAGGAAGTCTCCCACCAGAAGCCCCGCGCTCCAGACTGCCGCTCGGGCCAGGAGTGCGGCGACTCGCACCAAGACATCGGCAGCCTCGGCGCGACCGCTTGCGCTCCGATTTGTTTTGTCCACGCGTGACGCCGCCCACAGCGCGCTGCAATTGATTTCCGAAGCTGAGGGGGGGGAACAGGATAGAGGATTCTACGCCCGTTCTTGTCCTGGAAAATTTATCATTTCCGAGAGAGCGTCTGCGCAGCACGGATGGGTATGCAGCAGGGGGCGCCCCTCCCATTCGTGTTACCCTGCCAGCCACTGCTTCTCCCAGTAGTGCTGAGCACAAAAACCCTGCCGCCTGGCCCGCGGAAGTGCCAGCGCAGCAGCCGCAGCAGCCACACCAACCATCACCGTCACTGCCGGCTCCGCAGCATGTTTGCCGCAGAACCTGCCGAACGGCCCATGCAATTGCGGGACGTTCCGGTGGTCCTTTCCCCACCTTCTGTTCGTTTGGGACTGCCCCGGCAGCGGCCAGCGCGTGGTTCGTTGTCGCGCCGCCTCCCTTGTGCGGGCGCCGCCCGCCGACCCACAGCTGGATCTTCGTCCTTGGTTGTTGGCTCGCCTCTCACACGGATGTCTGACACTGCGGACGCCGCCATCGATGTCGCCTGTGCGCCCGAACCCCGAGTTGCAGGAGCCACCCTGCGCAGCACTGCTATCCGAGCGGCCCTGCTCCCCCGCGTGTTTTGCCGCCTTCCGGGCCAGCGTGTGCTATGCACACTTGATTGGCGCGACCGCGTCTCCGCTTTCAATGCCGGCCGCTGGGCGCACCTTCTTGCCCAAGTTTCTGGCCGGTGACGTCTTCGGCCGGCGCGAGCAACTTCCCGTGTCCACTGGGATCACTGTCGGCCGCAGCGATGGCAACAACACAAGCTGGCCACGCAGCGCTTCAAGGTCTGCAGGCAGGCGGGGCACACTTCAGGGCATAACTCGAAAGCCCGGAGTCACCTCCCGACTCGGGAGACATGAGGGCCTCCTGCCTGGCAACCAGCGGAGCTCCGGCGAAGAAGGAACAAATTCCGGTCCGGCCGACGCGCCCTCCGCGCGCCGGGTGTCAGCCAGGGGGACAGAAGAGCTGTTAAAGCTGGCCTCCGCCCCGGCAGCAGTTAGGAGACTTTTGTCGACAACTTCCAACCAGCACACCGAGGCGATCAACGGCCAATGGCCCAAGCCCACACAGAGCAACGCCCAGCAACCACAAGCTGCGCAGACCGAGCACTCCATCTCGGCAAGATAGCTGGCCGAACTCCGTGACCCTTCTCGCCGCCCAGCGGCGCCTTACGGAGCCTGCCACGTTGCGTCGGGACGCTTTCTTGGCAAACCGCCGCAGAGCAGTTGTCTCAAGGTTGCCCAGCTCGCTGCTCGGTTCGCTCGAGCCCCGCGCGCAGCGGCCGTTCCGCGTTGTGATTGGTTCAAGTGAGGATGTACTCTTGCTAACTGCCGATTGACACGACAATAGTATGGAAGTTCTGCAGCGGCGAATGTGATGAAAGAAACTCACAAATGGGCAAGGAAAAAGTGCGAAACTGCCGCTGTGCAGCACTGGAGAGCGCGTGAACCCAAACGTCTATCCATGGCACCGCTCCCGCTGCAGCGAGCAACAGATTCCAGCTCTACTTAAGCATGGCCTTGTTCAAGTTCTATGGCAGCGCGCTCACGCGGCACGCCTGCAACAGAACTATGCCGCACGCGCTGCCACAGAACTATATTCTATCCACAGTCACCATGCCCCAGTGCCTGACTTTTTGGACTGCGCTAAGTCGCTCTGTTAGCACACAGCTATGTCGGAGGTTTCATGCCTCCCTTCGGTTTCGCAGACGTCCGCTCGGCTTGACTGGGTTCCCGAATGGAGTGTCTCGTCTGTTTCTTGACACACCGCTTTTGTGCGGAAGGTGTGGGGCATATTTTGTGGCTGAAGCTTGACTGGCTGCCTGGCCTTGGAGACTTGCGTGTGCCTGGGGAACCCATTGCGTCCACGTGCTGCACCGCTTGGGAGGCGCTGCCCGTCCGCGGTCGAAGTCGCGGCCTGGCGTCGCTCGCTGGAATCGACGATCCACCTCACCGACGCATGTGGTCAAACAAGCTGCATGTGGAAAGTGTCTTGCTTGCAGAACACGCAATTCTATCCACTCTCATTACGCTCGCATTGGTGATTGGTGGTCGTGACGAATGACACCAGTCCTGATGAAGAAGCATGCGCTCGGGATAAAAATGTGCCGGCAAAGTTCACCATTCCGACAGTTGGATCGAGTGCATCCTCGTGTTAAAAGCGCGAACAAAACGCGCACTCAGCCCATGTTTCGGGATCACTTGTTGCTTCCCACTGTGCTCCAGGGCTCACTGATGCTATCTTGCTTTGCGAAGCAGTGCTGTCCATCCAAATGTCCTTTTGCGCGGTCGGATACTCAACACAGGTCGAGCCTGCCTATGTACAGTGAAAGCGCCTATGTACAGAATGTCTAATTGTCCTAGCATGTCAGGACTCCACCGAGCTTGTCTGCGCGGTGCAATTGTTCACGCAGCTGGGCAGGCACACACGAGCAACAAACAAAGAAACCGATTCTTCCAGTAAATTCCTGCATGTTCTCCACAAAGAAACTACCGGCAATACATGAACCATCCACAAAACCAATCAACCAGTTCAGGTGTGCAGTCTCTACTCCTCACAATGGGATGCCTTCTTGAGACGGAACCTGTCCTAGTTCTGCTCTCACCGTTTCTCCCTCTGACTTGGCAACGCAAAGAAATACATCCTCATGACCTCTCGCCTGAGTCAAAACCGCAGGCCTCCTGCACCAGCTGCTGAGCCTGTGAGGTGCAAGCTCCGCTCTACGCGGCATGCAAAGCATCTCTGCATTCAAGGCTAAAGCTGCCTGAACACACGCAGGTGGCAGTGGTGCATCTGGTCGGAGCTGTGTCCAACGAGACAGAAGCGCCTGCCAGCTTCAGGCAAGCAAGGTTGAGTTACGCAGAGCCATTGCCTGCAAAGCTTGGCTTCTTCTCATCTCTTCAGACAAGACTTCCTGATTTCGGCGCTCCTGCAAAAACAGCGGTGCAGTGTGTGTGGAGTGCGTTCCCATGTCCAACCTCAGCAGCTGTAGCTCTCAAAACATCGGCCAAACGTATTCGAAGGGCTTCAGCACTGGTAGCTTGCCACTGAAGCTCCTCCAAAAGGCAGCAGCTTAATATTCATGACATCAGCATAGACTGCATGTGATTTCTCTGGCACGCATGAGACTCAACTCTGCTCTTGCCTCGTTTGCAGCATCAAGGGAGCGCTTGGTGGTATCAAACTGCAGCGAAATTCGCTCCAACCTTGGCGAATGGAAAACGGAAAACTGCGACGGACCCCATAGGCTTTCACTCGGCTCACTTGGCGCTCGAATGAGTGCTGGACTGTCCTGCCCGAATGTCCAGCTCATCGCGCCTGGCACCCATACCGTGCCCTGTGCCCACTCTCTCAGCAATACTGAAAAGATCTGAAAAGGCGTTGCCGAGTTTTGCTTTTTGCTCTCAAGCTGTGCGAAAGAGAAACGAGCGCGCCAAGTTCTCATCTCCCCCTGCTGCTTCGAGTGCCAAATGGCACGTGCTGGGCTCAAAACCCAAAGCGGCCAAGCGAGCCGCAGCATCCTCAAAAAGCGCAGAACTCAGTCCCAGCAGCCGGACATCCGATCCAAACAACGGAGCTCCCTTGACCCGCCAGGCTGGTCTTTCGACTTCAGTTGAATCCTGCTGTCCAAGAGGTTCCACAGGACCTGCATCAGGCGTCTCCGAGTCAGTGTTGCTTTTTGGCAAGTCAGCCGGTTGGTCAGGCTGCTGATCCGCCTGTTGGCCAGCTTGATCCGCAAACATGTCCAGCTCGTTGTCTTTTGCGGAGCGATAAATTACACGCCCCTCAGGTGCCGGAGGAAGAGGTAGGAACTCTTGATCTGGTCCAAGACCACCCCAAATTCCATGTTCTTCCGAAGTGGTATGTTGCGTGGACCGCCTTGCAGCGCGCAGCGCAGCTGCTGTCTTTGGCCTCTTTCTCTGGATCCATCGTTCCCCAGCACAAGCCGCACAGCGCTCTGCTGATGCCTCGTTAAGGAGCGTGCAAGCCGGACAGGCCCAGGCTTCAGTTTCATTGCGATCGCTTCGATCGCTTCGATCGCTTCGCTCATGGCTTGCCTCGCGGGGAAGCACGACCACAACAGGGCCGGTAGAGTTTCGAGGGCTTTTGCAGGCGGCACACTTTGTGACCTCTGGCTCATTCAGCAAAGTGCACGCCGGGCAAGGCCATTCCGGCTCCCATGCGAGATCCGCATCCAGGTGAGGCTCCATGGCTCCAACTTCCATAAGTACGAATGCTTGTTTTATTTGACGCTCTGAATCATTCAGCCGTGCCTTCACCTTCGCCGATGCTTCGATTAAATAGATGTTTGCGTGTGTACATATATGTATATATATATATATATATGTCTGTGTGTGTGTGTCTGTGTGTGTGTGTCCGTGTTTGGCTGAGCATGTCAGAATCAGATGCCAAGTGCCAAAGGCCATACAGATATCATGCTTTTGCCCACACAACCCATGCCAAAGAGACCATGCACAGCGCTGCGACCAGTCGGGCAGTTGTCTCGTCGAAGCCAACACCTCCAAAACAAGTGTGAAATCTTGGTAGGTGATACTGCGCAAAATACACGGCCTCATTGCAGGCTGCAACTTTGGCTTGCACAGCCTGGAAAAAAGTGTGAGCTACTCAGTCTAGCTGGCATTGGGCCCCTGGCGTCAAGAGGTAGTATCTCGTCAGTAGGCTGGCCCCTCAGAGCATGCCTACAATCTAAGCTGATATGTTCTAGAATCTCACCACCTTCTCAGTTCATCAACTGAGGTGCTGGCTGCAACAGAGTAAATACATGGAGAGTGTCCAGGTCGGCAGACCGAAGTTCGCAGGCCTGTTTTGCGTTTGAATGAATTGCGACCAGCCATGCTGCTGCAATGCCAATGCTGCAAGACTCCAAGACTCCAAGACTCCAAGACTCCAAGACTTTGCCTGAATGTTTTGCTCCGTTTCAAGGGCATTCTCCTGCGCGCACCGGCCGAAGCAGACAAGTGGCTCAAGTGCGGCGCACCTCCGCAGTTTGCACCGCTTCACACAGAGAGGCATGGCGATCACTCAAGGCCTCAGCCAAGGTCCACTTCTTGGAGCCCGGAGCCTGTAAGCAACGGACCTGAAATGCGCGCTCTGCAGCTTTGAGAGCGGTTGGATTGACACCTGAAGCCACCATCACGATTTTCAGGAACACCTTTCTCTGCGGGGTGAAGCCTGGTCTCTCGGAAGAAGATGCACCATTCGTCCTTTCAGTCAACACAAAGGGCATAAAGAAGAATCTTACGCAAAGGGGAACTGTGAAACACGTACGCAAAGCTTGTCAACAAATGCCAAGGCGCGAGTTCGATGGCACTGGCGAAGACTTGGCAGCGGGCAATGAGGTGCAAAAAAACATGTGACTCCACAGTCATCTATTTCAGCATGCTCAATGAATCCAATTGCAAGCAACCGGTGTCCATTTAAAAAGAAAGAGAGCCACTTGCTAGCGTCACTGAAAGGAAAGCCGCTTAAGCTGCTGGCCTCCTCAGAAATAGAAGCCATCACAGAGCCTGAAACAAGCTCTCAAGAAGTTTGGCACTAGAAATGAAGAGCCGTAACTGCCGCATGTGAGTGCACAGCTTGTTTTCAAGGCTTGGAAATGCTGGCCTGCATGTGGCCGTCTGGACCGATACTCGGAAGAAGGCACTGTGTACTCTTGCAACTTCAGTGAAAGGAACCTAGCAACATCACATCAAGCCAAGCAGCAAATATGCTACTGATGGAGGGGAAAACAGCCGTTTACCGCCGCGTTTGTTCTGCATGGCTTGCTTGCCTGATGCTGTCATCGCGCTTCTCGCACTGCGCTTGCCAATAGCTCCCTGCCAAACGCCCGTTGTCCTGCGTGATATGGTAGGCACAGATCCGTGCTGCCTTAAATGACTAAAGCTGCAGAAATGCCGGGCTCAGTCCTCATGGAAGACAAGTAGTGCTCCCAAACAGTCAGCATGGCCTTTGGCAGTGCATGTCACACGGGCCCGGTCCTGCATCCGGGCACATAATAGCAGCGCTGATTCAAAACAAAAAGCACAACCCCACAAGGCCAGGGCACGCACCTCCAACCACAGCCCAGTGAACCCACATCTCTGCGCATCCTGCCCCTTGATACGCGACCCTGGCTGCCTTCGAACAAAGCACCATAATCGTAAATCACCTCACCAGTTCTCCGGAAACAATTTGTCAGCCTCGGAAATGCAAACCTGTCCTCCAACTCGGCCGTCATTTCAGCAATCCGCCGCGCATAGAACTGCGGGGTTGCAATAGAGGTAGCATCAATAGAGGCAGCATTACACTAGAAGACACAACAAGCTTGGCCTCGCGAGTGCTCCGTAGTTCCTCTCTTAGCTGCGCATGATCATCCTGTCAGTTGAACGGTTGCAACTGCTTATTTTGCGGCGGGAGACCATGCAAGAGTCGCCCGGACTCGGGACTATATTTGCCTATAGCACTATCTCCAGCAGTGCAGCGGAGGCAGCTGCATGAATCAATTACATACAGTGGAAACGAAGAAAGAAGAGTCATGTCTCATGCCCAGTCTCCTCAATCTGCATCAACTGCACCTCCAACGCCTGCAGGAAATTGCTGGAATCTGCGAAACCCGAATCAAACGGATGGCAATGATGCATGGAACATGACTCAGTAACCCGTGAATGGGATCTGTTCGATGTATGTCAGTCGTTCTTGCAATGTGCAAAGATCGGGTTGCGGGCAGCCTTGCCTCATTCTCGAAACTCAAGGAGTCCTTCCAATTCATGCAACAAAAGATGCGGCACGTGAAGGCAAGAGTTGTGTCCTCTCGATAGACTGAGACAAAGCTTTTCTTCGACAAGCTGGCTTGCATAAGCAACTCAGTCCAGACTTAAGACATGAGTCCTCGCTGCGCCGAATTCTTAACAGCTTTGTACAAAATCCGTACATTTGCAAAAGCTGCTTGCTTCTGCAAAGAAACACATTGTATATTTGTGAAGATTTCAGCTGGTCAAGCCTGGCAGCCGCTAAATCAACACAATCAACGAGTCATGAGAGCAACATGCACACCTCCTGGCGCTCCAATAGCGCGCCAAATCCTGGCTGTCCTGCACACGAAGCCGCTGATCTAATGCAATCAGATGCCCGGGCATGATGATGGATGCTGGTCATTCGTCAAATGATGGACGACCCGAGTGAAGCGCAATTCATACCAGCACTAGCAAACACAAAAGGTTGTTCAATAGTTCACGTAGAATTTGGCAACTGAAGTAAAGACGCCCTGCAGCAGCGAGGTGAGGCTTAAAAACACATGGAAATTCAAGAGGATTAATGAACAAAAACGTACAACAAAGCATCAAAAGCAAAGAGGTCGAAATGATTCAGAATCAACTCAGGCCTTTGTATGTCTGCTTTCTCGCTGAACAGTCCCACAGGGTATGTTGCCGCACTTTCTGTGATAGTGGTCAGCTTGGCAGCCTCAAGTGTGGGTTTAGGATGGAGTCGCTCTAACGTCAAGCTGATCTTTCGTGAAATATCCATATTTTGGGCTAAGTGGTATGCAAATTAGCTGGACCACTGTGTAGACACGGCCGTGGGGAATTCCGCTGTGTGTTTTTGTTTGTTACAAAAATCAGACTATGTTGGGGCGCTGTGCCATGTTGACAGCTTGGTCTGGGGGATGGGGAAACCGGGGGGGGTGGTAATTACGTACGCGTTCCAAGTGTCATTATCGAGACGATGCGCTCGTCTCAGTGATGATGTTTGTGCTGTCTTTTTATTTTTTCGCGCCTCCAGTTCTGCATATGTTGCGTGACTCTGGTTCGTTGTGTATGTTTGCGTTTGTCTGGTTGTTGTTTGGATCTATCTTCCCGCCCTTGACTTCGTGACTGATGCTGCATCAGCGCTGAATACCTAGACCAGCTTTGGGGCTTGCACTGTCAATGGCGCTGCGATCCAGATTCTATGTCGTCAGCTGTCTTGGACACTGTTCAGCATCCCCGCAGCTGCCGGTTGTCTTGTGACGCGCTGGAGCTCTCGTCTTGCTTTTTGTGGGCGTCTTGGCATGCACTGTGGGTCGAGGTCATGTGGGCCGCATGTATCCGGCTGTCGGCTTGTGTTTTTTCCCTTTCTCCTCTCTTGCTACGTGCCGTTTGCTGTCAGCCTTCTCCAGTCTTAGCGCCTGCCCTTGCCCCCGCCGTGGAATTCGCGACAGTGGAGCCAGCCGCTGTGGCCGCCGTGGATCTTGGGTCAACTGATGGCTTTTTTTCACCGGCCTCTCAGCCCTTGGCGAGATGACGCTAGCCCCTGCTCGAAACGCTACAAGGTCTGGCAAGGGCGCCAATGCTCTGCTGTTTCTTCTGCTGTCGAATAAGTTCCGCCAAAGCCTCAAAGATCTGCGCACAAAAACCGTCTCTTGCAAATTGTGCCTGTGACGCAGCAGCGCGGCAAAACGCATTGTAAACAAAGGCCGAGCTCTGACCCTGCTGCAGAGAACGCTTCGAAAAGGGACAGCCGTTTTCACTCCGTGTACCAAGTAGTTTGCGACTGTGCCAGGAACCAAGAGAACTGCCTCATGGTAACCTCTTGACACACACAATCCCAGCCACCGCCGAAAGGACAAGGATGCTGCCAACAACAAGGAAGCACCATAAACGCCGAGTCATTTGCCATTAACTTGCCACAGACACGTCAGAACCAGCATCAACAAAAAATCCTCAAGTATTGGTAACATTCTCAAGAAAAACAATCAAACAATAAGAAGGCCACCACCAGCGAATGTATCTCACAATACCCTGGCCTTCCAGTGAACCTCAAGGCAGAAAGTGCACGGTCCATAACAGCTTCATGTGCATGCCAAGCGAAGTGTAAACTTAATATGTTTATTTATGGTCTCGATTCTACTGCATGCAGGCTTAGCATGGCAAAGGGCCACTACGTTCCATGTGGCACAGCAGGCTATGATCCAACCGGCCATGTTTTTTGCGACTCAAGCTCCTGTCAGCGCTTCCAGTAATGATCTTTGCGCCGTCTGGAGACCAGCACAATGACCGAATGGCAGACAGGTGACCTGCACCGAGTAAAAGGATAAGGATGGGTTCGCGGTGTGCTTGCCAACAGCCTTTGAACTCGACTGGAGGCTCTTCCCACTTTGTGGGATCTCTGCTGCTGCTTGTCCACACCTCAATGTCACACATGATGCAATGTGAGTCATGATCAAACCCTAGTGGTAGAATGGTCTACACAAAACCACGTAAAGAAGTAACACGGCAGCCGCACCCATTTATGGTTGGGATTCTCTCTTCCTAGCCTGCTTCTACCCGGGTTTTGATTGTGGCTTTAGTCGTGGTTGCGGCATTGCGGATATTGTTTGGCTTTGGCTTTTGGCTGTGACTTTAGCCTTTCGCTCTCTTTTTGATGTTGCTGTTACTTATGCAGCTGCTTATGTCATAGTTTTCATCCTCCCAGCTGCTATCACTGCTGTGATCTGTCTCGTTGTGAATGCGGCCATTGTTGCTGGTGTGGTGGATACAAACACACTCTCGTCGTCGTCGTCTTTTCTCGATTACCAGCATGCTAGCAGCAAAAGTTGCAAGGTCAGGGTGGCACTTTGGCGCTTTTTCTATAGATCGTTGCCCATGAGCTGCAAATCCATCCTGGCGAGAACTGTACGCTGTCGAGGCTGCTGTTCAGCTAATCAGCATTGCAGAGCACCTGCTTGAAAATTGGTGTGGCCAAGCTTCAAGAAAGAAAAAGCACAGTATCTAACACCTCTTTGGGCGATGCATGTCGAACTGACGCATCTACCGACGCCACATCACACCTATTTTGTTTTTGATACCAACTCAGGCGATACGAGTTTCACTTCAAAGGCTCGCACTTCATCGTCAGCCTCCCAGTCATCAAAGCCCTCAACGCTGAGTCCACACTCATTGCCCTCATCGATCTCTTGAACTTGCTCTTTGAAGCGGCGAATAGATTGAACCTTCCCTTCCCCAATCTTGCGTCCTTTCCGGTACGCATGCACCCTGTTGCCTACTGCAAACTGGCCTTCCACGATCTCCGAGCCTGCAACTTTGCCATCTCGACCGTCAAATACAGCCTTGACTTTTGCCATGCCCTTTTCGACCAGCTTTTCTTCCTGCTCTAAGTCGCTCTCCAAAGCCGCAACGACGGCATCCTGAACAGTGAATTCCCGAAAAGCTTGCACACCAAAAGCTCAAAAGCTCCAAAGGTTGCTCATTTCAGACGTGATGCGTAGAGCTCATAGATCACCTTGAAGTTCTGGATCTTGATGCTGCACTCCCTCGCCTTTCTCTCAGCGGAAGGAGACACTTGGGTGTTGAAGCCCAGGATCATCACACGCTGACCTTCTGGGCATGTGGCTGCAAGCTCCACGTCAGAGTCTGTGATTGGCCCGGGTGCCGTCAGAACCCACCTCAAGTTCACATACTTCGAATCCTTCACGTCCGAGAACATGTGTTGGACCTTGGCCCGAAGAGCCTTAAAAGAAAACGATGGATCCTTACAACAGTTTTTTGCTTCTGTGCCGAGTCACTGCAGCAATGCTTCCTTGAGCATCAGTCTTGAGGATCAGTGCCAAGCGCATTGTTTGTTCGCTGTCTGTGTGTAAGCCCGCAAAGCCGACTTTTCCTCGTGCAGTCTCTTTGGCACGTCTCTCTGCCACCGCTCGAGCTTCTTGGGCGGTAGGATACACTTCAAACTGGTCTCCTGCGCGAGGGGAGTCCTGGAACCCCGTCACCTGCACTGCGATGGATGGCCCCGCGTCCAACACCTCCTTGCCAGCCTCGTTCTGCATCAGCCGAACCTTGCAGAGCTTCGTGCCGGAAACCGCGTAGTCGCACTTGTGCAGCGTCCCACGCTGCACCAACAAGGTGGCTAGGCAGCCTCTAGAAGCATCGAAGGTTGACTCCAATACAACCCCTGCGCCAGGGCCATCCTTCACCGCCTTGAATTCTGAAACCTCAGCAGTGAGATTCAAAATCTCCAGCAGATCATCCAGATTGATGTTTTGCTTGGCACTCACTTCAACCATCGGAACATCTCCACCCCAATCTTCTGCCAGAAGACCTTCCTCGGATAAGTTGCTCCTTCGAGTTTGGCATTGAAAACAAGTTGCACTCCCCTAAGGCACGAAAAAGCATAGCTTGCTCAAAATAAAGTTGCACTCTGAAAAAAATGGGTTGGCTAGACAAAGCGTCGCTAAGCCGCCGCAAAAACTCTCAACTCTCACCATCACTTTCCATGACACCTGTCCTCGTCTTTTGAGGATCAGCATCGGGCTTGTCGATCTTGTTGATAGCTACTATGATGGGCACTTCTGCTGCTTTGGCATGTGCAATCGCTTCTTTAGTTTGGGGCATTACGCCATCATCTGCAGCAACGACCAACACCGCAATGTCTGTGACTTGCGCCCCTCTTGCTCTCATCGCTGTAAAGGCTTCATGACCAGGAGTATCAATAAACGTAATTTGCTGGTCATCAAGCTCGACTGTGTAAGCACCTATTCTTTGCGTAATACCGCCGGCCTCTGTCGCAGCTACGCTTCGCTTTCGCAAAGTGTCCAACAGAGTCGTTTTCCCATGATCAACGTGCCCCATAACTGTGACCACTGGAGGACGAGCTTTCAAGTCTCCCTCCTGCTCCGCTAGGAAACCTCTGTCCCCAGCAGTAGTTGTCTTCTCATCATCAAAGATACACTCCAATTCATATTTCTCACAAACCTCGGCAATCAGCTCCTTCTCCAGGAAATCG